GCCCTAAGCAACTTAGTGAGACCCTGTCTCAAAAATTAAAAATAAATAAATAAATAAAAGAACTGGGGATGTGGCGCAGTGGTAAAAGCCCCTCTGGGTTCAACCCCAGTGCCAGAACCAAAACCAAAAAACATGAGAAAGTTGAGCATGGTAGCACATGCCTATAATCCCAGTGACTTGGGAGGAAGAGGCAAGAGGACTGTAAGTTCAAGGATAGCATCAGCAACTTAGTGAGAATCTGTCCCAAAATAAAACAATGAAATAAGGAAAAAGGGGCTGGTGATGTAGCTCAGCAATAAAGTGTCCCTGCATTCAATTCCCAGTACCAAAAAGACAAACAAAAATCCACTCATGAGCCGGGCACCGTGGTACATGCCTATAATCCCAGCGGCTAGGGAGGCTGAGACAGGAGGATCATGAGTTTAAAGCCAGCCTCAGCAACAGGGAGGTGCTAAGCAACTCACTGAGACCCTGTCTCTAAGTAAAATACAAAATAGGGCTGGGGATGTGGCTCAGTGGTCGAGTGCCCCTGAATTTAGTCCCCAGTACCAAAAAAATAAAATAAACAAAAAAATCCACTCATGAAAGAACTAGGCACAGTTATTCATGTCTTTAATCCCAGCAACAATGGAAGCTGTGGCAGGAGGATAGTAAGTTCAAGGGCATCCTGGACAACTTAGTGAGACCCTGTATCAAAATAAAACAAAAAAGGTTGGGAACGTAGCTCAGTGGAGCAAGGCCCTGAGTTTAATTCCCAGGACCAAAAGTCAAACAAATGAACAAAAACATAAAGAAAAGAAAAAGTGGTTTATTCAAACAACCTCCAAGGTTGAGGTGGAGAAGAAGACTCGATATGAGGACATAAACAGTGTAGTCACAAGAAAGTCATGGTTAGCAGTAAGTCTAATCAGTTGGGCTCATCCAAAGAATGGAATAAATATCTCCCCAAAACAATCCACCTCTTTTTTGTTTTGATTCTTTGATCACTAATCAATTACTGATTAAAAACTCAGTTTTCAAAAAGAAAATAAATACAAAAGGCAAGCAAACAAACAAAAAAGCCCACTGCTTTCCAGACACGAAAGTTCCAGACCAGAAATGGAAAACAAAACATAAGCATTCAGCTCACTGAAAAAAGAGACTTACTTCCATTTAGAAAAAACAAATTGTAAAAAATAAAAAATAAAAAAAATTGCCGCTGAGTTCTAAGTTACATTGGAACAATTAGTATAAGTCTCTCACAGATCATCTGTATGTATGCCAGGCAATTTCAGTTTCTATCCCCAGAAGACTGAGGTTTAGACCAAGGAAATCAATGACTCAATAAAAATGTGGATCTCTTATTAAGGGTACTGTCAGTTGCAGTCAGCCTTCTAAAATATATCCCCATCTCTATACTTTTCCCATCAAACTTTGTTATTGCTCTCAAACCCGAACACTGGGTTCTTGTAGTAAAAGTAGCAATAACAAAATAAAAACTAAGTCTATGGCCAGGCACAGTAGAGCACACCTGTAATCCCACGAGGAGGCTAAGGCAAGAGGATCCCAAGTTCAAAGTCAATCTCAACAACTTAGCAAGGTCCTAAGCAACTTAGTAAGAACCTGTCTCAAAATAAATAAATACATAAAATAAAATAAAAAGGGATAGGGATGTGGCTCAGTGGTTAAGTGCCCCTGGGTTTATTCCCTGGTATTTAAAAAAAAAAAAATTGTCTATGGATCTTTGATAGGGAAGAAACAGTACTTACATTAACGAAATCTCCACCTTGAATCATGAAATCCTTTATAACCCTAAAACAGAGAGCAAAAGATCCTAAGAGAAGATTCTATGGTTTAAAAAAATATTGACTTACTGGGTGAAGTGGTGCACACCTATAATCCCAGCAACTCAGGAGGTTGAGACAGGTGAATTGCAAGTTCAAAGGCAGTCTCAGCAACTTAGTGAGGCCTTAACCAATTTGGCAAGACTGTCTCAAAATAAAAAATTAAAAGGGCTGAGCATGTGGTTCAGTGGTTAAGCACTCCTGGGTTCAATCCCTGGTACCAAAAATAAAATATGAAATGAGGCAAGCATGGTGGCACATGCCTGTAATACCATCAACTCAGGAAGCTAAGGCAGGGGGATCCCAAATTCAAGGATAGCTTCAGTAACTTATTGAGACTCTTGTCTCAAAATACCAAGTACTGAAAAAAAATTAATAAATAAGAGATTTAAACATTCTCAAATTTTGGTATCCATGGGCAAGGATGTGGGGGTTTCTAGAACCAACCCCCCATCGATACCAAAGGATGATTGCATTTGTGAAAATCCCGAGAATATCTCACCAAAAGCCTTACCTGTGAAAGGTGCTCCCTTTGTATCCTATTGGCACCCCATCTTTTCTATAACCAAAAAGAAAGAGACTTGGAATGATATCAGGTAATCATAGGCCTTTCCAGTTTAGGACACACTGGAGCCAAAGGAACTCTCCTAAAGAAAGTGGGGAGAAGAGACTTATAGAAGTTAAAAAAAAGAAAAGAGAAACACCTAAGGATAGATCCCTGTGGTATTCTCTTCTATGACTCAGGGCTTTCCAATGTTTTCCCAACACACCCTCAGAAGTAGGCAGAGACTGACCTGAATTCTCCAGTGCAGAACTGCCTAAAAGGGAAAAGATGAACAATTCAGTCACTATGCCATCATAGCTGTGTGCACCTCTAATCTCAGGAGGGGATAAAGGGGTATAGACATTGCATCCAGCAAACTCACCAACCAGACAGCCAAATGTCAAGACACACAGGCATAGAGCCTAACAACATAAGTTGACACGAAAACAATAGAAAAGCAGTACCCATTCGGACAGAACAATACCCAGAGAAAACAAATCTCAAGGGCACTGAGTGGACAGAGGCAGATGGGTGATTCCGCGGATGTCCAGCTCCTGGTTCTGCTATTCCTTACCTAAAGTTCTCGGCTGTCTTGGGTACAACATCTGCAAACAGCTCGATCTTCATGCGGCCAACTTCCTGCAAGCGGCAGGAGTCTTTGTGAAGCACCAGCGCACGACCGTGATGGGCTCACGGGAGATGCCCCATCCCCAGGCCGCAAGGCATCTCCCACTTCCACCTCCACCTCCACCTCCTCCTCCATCTGCCTAGCTTAACCTTGCGTCCTGCCCAGTCCTTCCAGAAGCAGGGTGCTTGGGTGGGCAAGACTCATACCCTCCCGCCTCGCAGGAGGGAAGGCTCCGGTGCAGTTTCACACTCTGGCTCCCAAGTCCTCCCCCTCTGGGTTGGTGAGCTGTGCCCGGCTAGCCCCGTGCGGTTTCTCTTCGCGCAGATCTGGGTGGCCGCCTGTACCTTACCTGGCCGCCAATGCTGACATCAAAGAACACCACGGGATTGACAGGGCTTGAATTTGCCACCGCCATGGCTCCGACCCGGAAGCAGAAATCTGGCTTCCGGTGAACTAAACCCAATGCTGCGCGGCGGGGGAGAGGGTTCGGCGCAGGCGTAGTAGAAGTCGACCGGGTCCGGTCCCCGACGCGAGGCGCGATCCGGTTGGCTCGTGGTAGCTGGGGGCTTTCCAGGGAAAGGAGCGCGCGAGAGAGGAAGGAGGAGGGGGAAAGTCCGGGCATCTTTTTGCTCAAGGTCTACAGGCATCCCACTGACATGGCTGTACTAGTACGTGTAGATTAATCTTTACATCCAGGGCGTTTTGAATAAGCAAGGCTTTCAGCTCTTGAAGCCAGGACCTCCAAACCAACTGTTTCGTGGTGGTTGTTCTACTTACGAGGATCTCTGTTGTGTTCATCCTCGGTATTGAAAACGGCTTGGCACATAAGGCTTGCTCAGTACTTGTACCCCCCTTGAATTCAGGACACTAGAATCCTAATTTCAGTTCTGCTATAAACTTTTAACTCATTTCCTATAGAGCAACTCGAGTTTTTTAAATAAACTTTGCTCTTAAGAAATAACAACTGGCTTCTCATATTTAGAATAAAATTCAGCTTCTTACATCCAAAGCCCTAAATGCTGCAGTCTGGCCACCTGTAGTCTGGCCTCACCTCAGATGACTCACCCTCAGTTACTATTCTGCCTTTCTCTTCCTCCAGGTCATTAAAATCGCTACTTTCCTTTGGGTCTTGATAGTAGATGTTAATTCTGAAATATTCTTAGAGATCCTTTATAGGGAAGGCAGGGTAGCTCCTTGTAATTCAGGGCTCAGCCCAGGGGCAACCAAACAAAAGCCCTTTGTCACTCAGATCTCTGGTTTTCTTTTTGCTGCTCAACTGTTCAAAATTATATGTCCTCACCGTTCATTCCCTGCCACACACAGCCTCCTCCCTAATAGTACATAAATTCCACGAGTAAAAACTCTCCTAGTCTGTCTTGTTCACAACTGAGGCTGCGTTGCCTACTATCAACTAGCATATAATAAGTTTTCGTTAAATAGACCCAGTGAATTGATTGAAAAAAAATGTTACCTTGGGCTAGACTCAGTCAGAGCACACATTTGATACAATAGCTATTATATCCTGTATCCTTGGATCATCCTTTCTAGTGATTGAGGAAGTAAGGGTTACCTATAAAAATTCAGTGCATCTAAAATGGGCCCCGGTGGCTGCACACTTGTAATCCCAGAGACTCAGAGGCAAAGGCAGGAGTATCACAAGTAAGAGGCCAGCCTCAAGAATTCAGCAAGGCCCTAAAGCAATTTAGCCAGACCCTATCTCTATCTCTAAAATATAAAAAAGGGCTAAAGATAAGGCTCAGTGGTTAAGCATCCCTGAGTTCAATCCCTGTTACCAAAAAAATAAAAGGATGTGGGTTTAACAGGGCACAGTGGCACATGCCTGTAATCCCAGTGGCTTGGGAGGCTGAGGCAGGAGAATTACAAATTCAAAGCCAGTTGGATATATGACCCAGTGGTTAAGTTCCCCTGGGTTCAATCCCTGGTACCAAATAAATAAATAAATAAAAAGGAATTATACAGGTTTTTTAAAAAAGTATTTACTTAAATGTGATTACATTGTTTTTTTCTTTTAAATAATAACACTTAAAAATACCCATGATAATGGAAAAGAATGCTATATTAACCATATATATACTCTGAAGTAAAATCTAATTATATCATCGAACTTCACTGTACTGATCAATTCAAATCATCTCAGGATATAAAACAAACTTGAGAAATCCATTTTTAGAAACTGTTTAATGAATTATCAGCAATTTTGAAGACTCCTGGCTGACATACAGTGAGGAATCTGGAATCTTCCATGTCATAGTCCACTTTAACGTTCAAGCTTTAAGTTAGCAGGTTTGATCATTATAGTGTTAGACACCAGCGATTTTATAGTTCTGACTTTTGGTCTTGTTTTTTTAGGCTGTGTGCCTCTTTCAGAAAAGCCATATTTATGTATCCAGTTTCAGAATTCTGTGAACATGAAAGAGACTCAGGGGACTTTGAAACTCCCATTGCTGCTTCTGATTTATGTTCCTTAGTCCCTTGAAGATTTCCAATGGATTCTAACAGACGTGCTCCTGAAAAACTAAGAAAGAACATGAGTGAGGGCATTGTATGGATAGAATTGTCTGGTAGAAGTTTGGGGTTACAGGGATGTGGCTTCAATAATATTTCAGTTTTTTACAACTCTCAAGCACAAAGAAAATAACCAAATAAAATTTACCTTTAACCTATTATTGTGGGTTACCTCCCGTCTTACTTAAATAGGATTCTGTGGGGTATGAGGGAGAAGGGTTGGTGAGGGGACAAGGAATTAGGAGAAGATTCACTTACTAATTGTAGAAAAATACTCTTCAATGCTATGCTTTCTCAAGACAGCAACTCAGAGCTAGTTAACAGCTATGCCTCTTGGGCATGCAGAATACTCTATTGATTTTACTAACCTAGATCCTGGAAAAGGCAATATTTTCTTTAGTACATCAAGTCCAGGGTTGTCACTAATTGTTGCTTCCTAAAAGGAAAGAATGGACTAATATTAAATATTATAATGATAAACCATTGGCAGTATGATTCTAGAATTTATACATATAAATATATAATATAGCTATAGTACCTGAATATATTACACACAACAAAAAGCATAAAAGGGTATAGAATGAAAAGTTGCTTGAACAACACTATCAGTAAGTCAGGCTCTCTCTCTCTCCTGTATATCATCTATATTGATCGCTATATATATTTATATAAACTATCCATATAATATGTAGATTATATACATAGTCTATCTCTGCCTATCTTTCTAGTTTTTACACACATGATTTTATACATTGTCTTCATCTTTCTTCTTTTCTGTTCATATTTGGAGAACATATACAAGGGACTTGTTTTTTTGTTGTTATAATAGCATTGTTGCCAAATGAATCACATACCACAAAGTTCACCCTTTAAAAATGCTTGGAAGAGCTGGGTATGGTGGCATATGCCTGTAATCACAGCAATTTAGGAGCTGAGGCAGGAGGATTCCAAGTTCAAAGCCAGCCTCAGCCTCTTGGTGAGGCCCAAGCAACTTAGTGAGATCCTGTCTCAAAGCAAAAAAATGGACTGGGGATGTAATTCAGTGGTAAGACACCCTGAGTTCAATTCCCAGTAACCCCTCCCACCAAAAAAAAAAAAAAAGCTTGATTCAGTGCTTTTCTATGTATTCACAATTTTGTGCAACCATCAACACTATCTGATTCCAGAACATTTTTATCACCCTCCAAAAAAGCCCCACCCCCATGAGCAGTCACTTCCCATTCCTCTCTCCTGCCAATCACTAATATATTTGCTGACTTTATTTATTTTCTTATTCTGGACATTTCATATAAATGGGATCATATGATCCTATAATATGTACCCTTTTATATCTGATTTCTTTCTTTCTTTTCTGGAACCAGAGATTGAACCCAGGGACACTTAACCACTGAGCCATATCTCCAGCCCTTTTTATTTTTTTATTTTGAGACAGGATCTCACTAAGTTTCTTAGGATCTTGCTAACTTACCTGGGCTGGCCTTGAACTTGTGATCCTCTTGCCTCCAGTCTCCCCAGTTGCATAGATCACAGGTGTGCGCCTCTGCACCCAGCTGAAAATTCTACTTTGGGTGAAATATGCAAAACAACTAACATAGCTTGGAAGCAATTACCCTTTTGAGAGTAAAGATGCATTCTCAACAATAGTGCCCAACAAGCAGGATCTACTGTTAAGTATCCTGGGGAGGGATGTCTTACAAATGATACAACCAGGGAAGGAAGAAAATAGCCTCTGCCTTGGATTCAGAATATAATTCTTCTTACTGAAGTCCCTCTTTCTGACCTGCTTACCATCCAGACTCTAGACCTTGTCTCACCCTGTACTACTTTCTGCCTCTCTCTAAACTTGGCTACTTGTCTGAATTTTTGGAACATAATTGCTTTTCTTGGACTAGGGTGCTCTGTTGTCTTGATTCTTTAATAGGCTAGTTTCACTTAACTTCTCTGAGCCTCAAGACTTGCTCACCTTTCTTTCCTAATGTGGCTAGAGTAAAACATTATGAACAAGGTTGCTGAGAATGAGGCATATATATGAAAACATTTAACGTTCATTCATTCTCAAATATCTGTGGAGCATCTGTCTGCAGATACAACAATATATGAACTACGGTTGTTGCTCTCTAGGATCTCACTGCAGAGTTAATGAGATAGAAAAGAAAAACAGCAATAACCACTATATAATATGTTAGAGAAGAAGCTCAGAATCATACATGAATTGCTTTAGAATCACACCAGTGAGTTTTAAAGCTGACCCAATGAAGAGCAGAGTTGGTCAACAGCATTTGCGGGATTTGCTACCCTGGTATGTGTGTAGCCAAGGAGCCTCTTTGCTACAGCCCACCATGAAGCCAAGAGCACAACTAGAGCTATATGAAGTTGAAGAGAAGAGAGGGTACAGCAAACTTAGCAATCAAAACTTCAGATTAAGGACCCAACAAAAAGTGCACATCTTACCTCTTTTCTGCGAATCTGGATGTTCCATATAATGCGCTCTAAGAAGCTAACTTGCTGCATGAGCCGGAAATGATTTTCCTGTAATTGCTTATTTTCTTTATCCAGGAAAAGTGCTCTAACAACAGTATAAATCAGAGACATAGCTAGAAATGTCTTTTTCTTTCTTTCTTTTTTTGGGGGGGCGGGCAGTACTGGGGATCAAACCTGGGACCTTTTGCATTCTCCGCATTTGCTCAACCACTAAGCTACCCACCCTCCCTAGAAATTCTGCATCATTTTTGAAAGCCCAAAACTATGTTCCACATCCCACTGTCTCTGGGTCTTGGACCACTGTCCAGAACTTAGACTAAGTTTGGCAGAATAATTCTTACCATATTAAACAATCAACTAAAAAAACAATAAGCTTCTGGTCTATAAATGGTTATTAAATACATATGCATGAGTATATGAATTCCAGACCTTGAGAAATTTAAGGTATGACTCTAGGGGAAGGATTGAAACAAAAGACCATATCCTTCAAATATCCTAACTACACAGCTTGCTTCTGGCTCTCATCTTACACTAATCTGATTCTGAGTTCTCATGGAGAAGTAGAAATAGTATTAGCAGCAGCAGCCACTTACTAGCTAGTCACCATGTACTTAGGCAATGTGACCTGCTCACACATTAAGCACTAAACATTTTTCACATATTGGCTCACTTAATCTTCAGAACAACCTCATAAAACAAATATTGTTATGAAGCCTTTCTTATAGCTGAGAAAACTGAGGCTGAGAGAGAGAGGACAGGAACTTGGTTAAGAACATAAAAACAGAAATTTGTAGAACTGGGATGCCAAGCAGATCTTTAAGACTTCGAAGGAAGCCTGATCTCTTTTCCACTATCTTAGGCTCTCAGGGCTGCAGTTATTCGGGAGACTTGGCAGTATAATAGATTTGATTAGAGTTTCATGTTTGATTTCTCATTCTTCAACTTGTTAGTTGAGTGACCCTTAGCAAATTATAAATCTGAGCCTCAGTTTCCCCATCTGTAAACTGACTTCAGAAACTATGACATAGTTTGAGATGGACAATGCTTTAGCTGTATAAAAGGGGAAACACAAACAGTAAAAGATAATCAGAGGCTTTCCACGTGTGCCCTAAGGAGCATGTGCCCAAAGTAGCTGACAGGTATGGTGCTGGAGTCTTGGGCCAGGCTGCAAAGGTTCACATACTGCTTGACTACTAACCAGTCTAGGTGACTTCCCTGACCTTTGTGGAGCTTGGGTTCCTCATCCATAAACTAAAGCTAATGTTAATACCTCCCTCCTGGGGTTAGTGTTAAGGTTAAATGAATCCAGAGAGAGTGAGCTTAGAACAGTGTCTAGCATATAGTAAGTTCTCAATCATTGTAGTTCTCAAACATAATTGTCATAGATGACATTATCTGTTAAGATCAACCCATTCTCTTTGTTCTTGTTCTTGCTCTAAGAATATTTTTTACTGTAATTAAATTTTCCCATGGAGGAGAGAATGCACGAGCCAGCTTGTATCTAAATTCTTTTCCTCTTTGAATATTTCTCATTAAAAATTAATGTCATATCCTGTGGGATTCATGCATTTAAGTCCTTCCTATGGGCTTAATTCTCTGGTCTACTTTAATTCCATAGGTATCAAATGATAAAAAAAGGAGCATTGACACACACAATGAGGCTGGCCAGAATGCACATATCCGGGTCCTCTGTGTGAGAGCCTATATGAATGGCTGGCCCGCCTGGTCCATGATATTTTTTCTAATTTCACAAGTTCTGCTGCTTGCATGATCTGCTGAAAACAGCAGACATCAGAGGAAGAGTTATAGGATAAGCCACAAACTCAAAGACAGCCTCTGCAACCATTTCTTTGTTGAAGGAGAAACAAAGCCAGCGGAGTCTACTGGCTGCCCAGTGGGACTGCACCTACTTGCTCTTGACTGATGAGATTATTTGTTTGTTGTTGCGGATTATTTCTTCTTGGTCCATGACTTGCTTCAGAAGCTCCCTTTTTTCTATGATCAGATTATCATTTTGGACCGTGATCTGGGCCTGGAATGCCTTCTCCTAGGGATTCACAGCAAGAGAAAGAGTTAAGAACTTCTGCCTGTTTCTAAGTCCTAACAACAAACTTCTCTTGTTTACTCTCTTTCCTGTCCTCTAGTCTGTTTCTGTTTGGTGACATGGTCATTCATTATAGCTAGATATTCTTCTATTTATTTTATATGTGATGTATTTTTGTTTGGAGGTTTAACCATTCTTTTGCAGTAACATTAAGAAGATCTGAACCTCAACTTCTCCTAAGATCCCAGTGCTCTTACCTGTATTATCTTTCCCCTCTCTTAGATGTATTCTAATTACACAGGGATCAAAAACCTCCAACAAATACGACTGAATTTTTTTGAAGCTCCATATTTAAATTTTCCCCATTTAATACATGTCCATCTGCATTGTAGTTGTATTCCTTTAAAGGCAGAGGGAGGAAGATGGGAATTTAGCCACCTGGTCAGGCAGAGTCAGGATCCCAGCTGGCATGGCAAGCCACGCCTGATAGCCAAGAGTGGAGCCTACTACCGCAGGAATGATGCTGAAATGCCTTCAAGCCCAACACTGTGTTTCACTTTCTACCAGTGATTTTCTTCCAAGGCAAGAGATACTGAAGTTATGGCTAAAATGGTAAAGGAGTACATTTGGTGAAAAAACACTAATATTCCCCCATAGCTGAAAGAGTTCATAGATAGATATTGGTAAGTATAGAATTGTTGGTCTCACTTCACGGATGACCTGCAAATTGTAACAGGCAAGTATTTTCATCTTTCCAGTTTTTGTTCCTCACCTGCCAGTGATGGGAACAAGTGGGGAAGGGAGAATAACAATGTTAGGCAAGAGGGTGAATCATAGGGTTAAGAGGGGCAACTTTGGAGCTGGGGTGGTAGAGAGCTCATCTAGCATGCACGAGGCACTGGGTTAGATCCTCAGCACCACATAAATGTAAAATAAAGATATTGTGTCCACCTAAAGCTAAAAAATAAATAAAAAAAGAGGGGCAACTTTATGCTTCTTTTCAATAAGATACTAATAAGGGCTGGGGATGTAGCTCAGTGGTAGAGTGCTTACCTAGCACCAGGCCTGACCTGGGCTCAGTTCCCAGTATCTACCACACACAGACACACACACACACAGTAAGTTCTTAAATAAGATACTAATGAAGATACTAGTGTTGATCGCTCAAGAAAAGACTGTCCATCTATTATTTAAGATATGAAAGGAAGGAGGTTAGATTATGTTCTGAAACAAACCATTCCGCATTTTAAAGTCCTTCTCCAGGACCATTCAATGTCTAATAATAATCTCACTTGTTATTATTTAAAGATATTTAATACATGTACATATGCATTGTAGTTGTATTGATAAAGGTTGAGAATAGAAGCAGCCATAGACAATATACCCTATCCTGTAATAAATGAATTAGAAAGGATATTAGATGGGGACATTTACCCTGTCCTTAGGAAACACCACATATTTTTTGTGGTGAAAGAGTTCATAGATAGGTATTGGTAAATATAGAATTTTTTTAAAAATAGGAATACCTGCTATGGTGATAAGGTAAAATATTGGGGTAAATCTGGTTTGGACGGGTACAACAATTAGAAGACTCAGTTGGCTTGCTGCATTTTTTTTTTAAAGGAAAGAATGGCAACAGGAACTTACTGAAAGACTTTCTTTCTTTCTTTTAGAGAGAGAGAGAGAGAGAATTTTTAATGTTTATTTTTTAGTTTTCGGTGGACACAACATCTTTGTTTGTATGTGGTGCTGAGGATCGAACCCGGGCCGCACGCATGCCAGGCGAGCGCGCTACCGCTTGAGCACATCCCCAGCCCTGGCTTGCTGCATATTGAGAAGGCCGAAGAGATGAAGCCAAAAATAGAGACATTCATTTTTGGAGACTCAGAAGGTAAACCTAATGTTTTTATCCTCAGGGCTCTGATCTGTGGGTCCGAAAATAGGTTAAAATCAAAAATACCAAGTTTGTAGTACTGTGGTATTAAGAATGCTCACATCAGTCTTCGCTGAACTTTATTTATTTATTTATTTATTGGTACCAGGAATTAAACCCATGGGTGTTTAACCACTGAACCCAGCCATTTTTAATATTTTATTTAGAGACAGGGTCTCACTAAATTGCTTAGGGCCTCATTAAGTTGCCGAGGCTGGCTTTGAACCTATAATCCTCCTGCCTCAGCCTCCTGAGCCACTGGGATTACAGGCCTGTGCCATGAACTATTTTTAATTCTAACAATTTGTCTTGTGAACTATACATCCACCCATTAATATGCTTCTTAGGGATCATACCCCAAGAAAAGGGAAAATAATAATATCAATGAAAATTTTAATATAAACCACTTTAGGAATTTTATGTTTTTAATTCTCACAAAAGTCTTACATATGAGGTGGAGATTATTTTCTCCATGTTACAGATAAAGGAAATGATACACAGAAACTGGTCCAAAGTCAAAGAACTAAAAGCCAGAGCTAGAATTTGAATCCATGTCTGTTCTAAAGCTAAAGCCCACAGAACTCTTTAATGGTGTGAACAAAAGTCCAAATTACTTTCTTAGCCTCTGCTTATTTGCAATTTGCAATATATTTCCTGAAGACCTATTGTTCTTCTAGTCAGTGCATTAGCTTTCTAGGCCTGGCATGACAAATTACCACAAACTGAGTGCTTAAAACAACAGAAATTAATTTTCTTACAGTTCTGGAGGGCTGCAAGTCTGAAATTAAGATGTTAGCAGGGTTAATTCTTTCTAAAAGCTCACATATAGGGTTTTTTGGTTGGCTGATTTTTCCTTGCAATACTGAGAATCAAACCCAGGGCCTTCTTCATGGTAGGCAATTGCTCTACTGCTGAGACACACCCTCAGCCCTCAGAGGAAGCTTCTGGTCCCTGCTTTTCTCCTGGTTTTGAGTGGTAGCCAGCACAGCTCAGTGTTTCTTGGTTTAGTTACATCATTCCAATCTTTGTCCCCGTCACCACCAATGTTCTTCCCCTGTCTTCCCTTCTTCTTATAAGAGAACCAGTCAGATTGGATTTAGTATTCACCCTATCCCAGGATAACCTCATTTTAACTAATTACATCTGTAAACATCCTGTTTCCAAATAAGGTCACAATCTGATGTTTTGGGTAGACATGAATTCTGGGGAACACTATTCAACCCAGTACAGTCAGGAAGAAAGGAAGCAAATCTGCTGAAAGCTGTTTTACATATAAGCATAGAAGTAGAGGCAGGTAGTACAAGAAAGCATTGGTCTTCGGGCACAGTGGCACATCCCTGCTATCTGTTATTTGGAAGTCCAAAAGTTCAAGGCGAGCTACTTTAGGTGAAATCTGACACAACTTAGACACCAAAATCAATAATGATAGTAACAGATTATAACTCAACAAATAAAATGAGAATCCAGGCGTCCATATTAACAAATAAATGACTATGTAAACCAGGTGTAGTGGTCCACACCAGTAATTCCAACTACTCAGCAGGCTGAAGCAGAAGGACTGAAAAGTTCAAGGTCAGCCTTGGCAATTTAGCAAGACCCTACCTAAAAATAAAAATATAAAGGGTCAGGGTTATAGCTGCGTGGTAGAGTGCCCCTGGACTCAATCTCCAGTATGCAGAGAGAAAAAAAAAAAGTTGTACTGTGTGTAGTCTAGAGATTCTTTTTTTTTTTTTTAAATTTTACCTTCATTTACTTCTCTTTATTTTATTTTTATGTGGTGCTGAGGATTGAACCCAGTGCCTCATGCGTGCCAGGCGAACACTCTACCACCCCAGCCCCAGTCTAGGGATTCTTGACCCAAGTCCCATGGTAGTGAATGAATATCTGAAATTACATAAATTGTTTTGGTATCTTTGGCATATATCAGAGATACAAAAAAAAATTTAGGTGGGTATATAAAGGAGTATTTTAGCAGAAAAAGAATTTTCAAAATTCTTTTTTTTTTTTTTTTGGTACTGGGGATTGAACTGAGGGGCACTTAACCTCTGGGGCACATCTCCAGCCCTTTTTTTGTATTTTTTTTTAGAGACAGGTCTCACCGAGTTGCTTAGAGCCTTGCTAAATCGCTGAGGCTGGCTTTGAGGCTGCCTCAGCCTCCCAAGCCACTGGGATTTACATGCATGCACCACCATGCTCAGCCAATTTTCAAAATTCTGAAATGGACTAGAGATCCCAGAAAGGGAAAACACTATTGATGTCAGTTGTTCTTTTTTTTTTTTTTTTTTTTTTGATCCTGGGGTTTGAACCAAGGGTGCTTTACCACTGAACTACATCCCCAGACCTTTTTCTTATTTTTTATTTTGAGATAGGATCTTGCTAAATTGCTTAGGCTAGCCTTGAACTTGCAATCCTGCTGCCTCACTCCTGAGTTGCTGGGATTACAAGCCTATGCCACCATGCCTGGAAGTTGCTCTCCATTTTTAATTTATGTTAAACATCTCAAGACTATTCTGCATGCAATTCCACTTATCTTGTCCAATTTCTTTCTTATCCATATGCCCATAAGTCACAAGACCAATAAGACAAGCCTAAAGAAATCAGGGATATTTAGAAAAATCTTGAAGGTGCTAATCAAGAACTGATAAAGAAATCAGGATAACCTGTTTTCAATGCCATGAAAACTGACGCTGAGGCTTGAGACAAAACACGGGGGACTTAAAACAGGAATGAGTTAGTTAATGAGGGTAGTCTGGAAGTCTTTGCTGAAGAGTATTTAAGAAAAGATATTTTCATTTGAAGGCAAGACAAGCATAAATTGGCAGTGCAGACTATTTTCGGTGTTCAATTTAGTTTAGCAACACTGAGTCTTAGATTCTGTTTGGCAGGACTTAAATAATTACTTACATGGAAAAACGATGACATAAAAAGAAAACAAGGGCTCTGAAGAGTCCACAAATTAACTTACAAATGAGTGGGCATTCTCTAAATGGCTAGCCACCAGTGTCATCATATACTTTTCTCTCTTTCTCACCGTCTCAATTTTTTGTTGCAGGAGTCCAGCTTCTTCTTCAAGTTGTTTAATTCTCTTATTTCGTATTTCTACTTCATGAACTAGATGATCCTTGATCTTTCGAAGCTTGGCTTTGTGGTGATGCTTCTCAGAGTGGTTTCTATAAAAGTAAATTTGAGTATAGGCATTCCTGAACATAGTGAAAATTGATTCTGTTTCCTCAATATGCAACTTTCTTGGGTTCACTCTGGATTATGTCAAGGGTCTGGCACCAGGCCTGGATACTTAACCTGCTGCACATCTTCTAACCCCTCTGTAGGGGAATGACCCAGGGACAACCCACTGTATATAACAAAGATGTAGTCATCCTCATGGAATCAAGTCTCTGGCTTACCTTGGTTAGAACTGGTAAGTGTATAGTTTTAGCATTTAAGTTTAACTTAGGAAGCTTCTTGACTTCAGACCCCTGACATCTAAATTCTGAATCCCATTCCACTAATTAGGTTACTGATTTAAAATTTCCCAGTTCATGGCTATCACCTTGAACAGTGATAAGATCTAATAAAGTGAAATAAAGATCTATAAAAAATAACTGGGCCTGTTCTCTGTTTTGTATTGAATCTGGACTTCTAAATACCAATTCTATGGAATGGTTCCTATTCAGGACTCTGAATCTGATTCTGACGTGAATCTAAATCACTGTCAGGAACACATGAAGAGATGCTTAGTATCCTTAATCAGTAAGGAATACAAATCAAAATCACAAGGAAATAGAACTGCATATCCACCAGTAAGACTAGAATCAAAATGAGAATAACAAATTCTGGCAAGGCTGTGGAGAAACTGGAAACCCTCATATACTAAAGGCAGGAATGTAAAATGGTACAGCCTCTTTGGAAAACAACCAGACAGTTCTTCAAATAATTAAACATAGAATTATCATGTGATCCACAGGCTATACTCCTAGGTGCACACTCAAGAAAATATGAAAAACATTCATTGACATAAAAACCTAAACACAAGTGTTCATAGCAATATTATTCATAAGTGCCAAAAGGCAGAAACAACCCCATGTTCCATCAATTGATGAATGGATAAACAAATTAAAGAATGACTACACAATGGGCTATCTTTCAGACATAAAAAGGATTGTACTGACACATGTTACAACATGGATGAACCTTAAAAGTATCATGGTAAGGGTAAGAAGCCAGGAGCAAGTTGGGTGCAGTGGGGCATGCCTATAATCCCACCACTCCAGAGGCTGAGTTAGGAGAATTGCAGATTTAAGACCCGCTGGGAAATTTAGTGAGAACCTGTCTAAAAGTAAAAAACAAAAAATTTAACAGACAGGGATGTAGCTCAGTGGTAGAGTGTCCCTGGGTTTATTCCTCAGTACTGGGGGAAATAAAAGTCACAAAAGACCACATATTATGTGATTCCATTTATATGAAATGTGCATACTGGGGAAATAGAAGATGTGAGTATATTATAACCCAGCTTGGTGGCCCATGCCTGTAATCCTATTTGGGAGGCTGACATATAAGGATCATAAATTCTAGGCCAGCCTGGACAATTTAGATCTTATCTTGAAATAAAATAAAGGGCTGGGGAGGTAGCTCAGTAGTAGAGTGCTTGTGTAGCATGCTCAAGGCTGCATTTTTCAATCCCTTCAATTGAAGGAAGGGAGGGAGGAAAAGATTAGTGATTGCCTAGGGGTGGGGTTGGGGAGGAAAATCAAGGATAGGCTACAGGATTTTGGGGGCGGGTACCGATGATTGAACTCAGGGGCACTGAGCCCAATTTTTGTAGAGATACACGTGAGGGTTTATTTGTCAGAGCTGACAAATAAAGGCCATTTCTCTGTAGGAGAGAGAGGCTAAACAGGCTTGAGTTCTGGGACTTTTAAAAGGGAGGCTCAGGAATCAGAGCCCGCTGAATCCTAATGTGGGTAGTTAATGGTTGGGTTGGTGTGAGGGAGTGGTGAGCCTTTCTCGGAGACACCCTTGGGCAGGAAAGCAAAACTTTTTCCTTAAAATGGTGGCTGTCATTTAAGATGGTCATCCAGATGCTAAGCAAGGACCTTGTATTCCCCCCTTTTTTATTTTTATTGGGCCACGTAGGGAACAGGGACATAGGTCAATCTTCTATAACTGCTTCCTGCTGGGAAGGGGCTGTTTTGAATCCCTCATTAGGGGCCTGGTATGTCATTAGAACGATGATGGAGGTTGAGTGGTGGTGGAATGCTGTCCCTGGTGCCCCAATGTTTAGTGAGGGATTGGTATTTCTGTAACAAAAGCTGATTTATAGTTTGATTAGAGATTTTTGGATGTAGTCTTGAGCCAATCTAATGACACAGGGGTCAAACATTAACAGAAAGCCTATGGGGTCAGGAAGGGAAGAACCCACTGGAGAAGGGGGTTACTTAGCTGCCATCCTTCAGTAGAGGAGAGCTGTTGTTTCCAATGTTCAAGGTCCTGTTGCAGTTGTTTTATCTTGTCCTTTACTATACCAGATTGATTGACATAAAAATAGCATTCCTCCTCTAGGTACAGCTAAAGTCTGCCTTTTTAGCTGTATAAAGATCAAGACCCCTTTAGCTGTAAAACCGCAGCAGCTAAAGAACCAAGCCTAGATAGTATGGTTTGTATGGTTTGAGCAAGTTGCTGTAAGTCTCCTAGAAACTGGAATGGTAACTCCTGGTAATGGTACCCCTGGGAGGTGAGTGCAAAATGATGGAGGAGGGCAAAAGTGAAAAAGGGAAGGATGGTACCCATGGTTCTGCAGTGTCCTCATGGTCCTCAGAGACCAAAAGAAGATTGGGGTTCTGGCCTTGGAGAAACCCAACTTGAGAAGGCTTGTGGGTGTCACTGTATAAAAGGGGGAGAAATCCATTTAAAATGGGAGTTATGAACCCAATATGGGATGCCCTCAAGGCGGTACTGCTGGGGGAGTGGTAAGAATGACCCGGTAGGGTCCAGTCCATTTTGCAGAGTTGAGAGGAGGAGGGGAGCCTATTGAGGGGGTTAAAAAATACCAGGTTGCCAGGAGACAGAGTGGGAGAAGGGGAAGAGGCAGAAATAGGCTTTGCCAGAACAGCACTGTTGTATTGCCAAAGAAGTTTCCTGATGTATGCAAGAAGGGGCCAGAAAAGATGAGGAGCAAGGGGTAGTGGAGAACCAGAGGGTGGTGAGCTGAGCAGGGAGATAGGCCGTCCATATTGAAGCTCAAAAGGGGAGATGTTGAGTGGCTTCTTTGGGAGGGCTCGAACCTAAGAAGAGCCAAGGGAAGAAGTTTAGTCCAATCTAAATGTAATTCAAGGGATAGTTTAGTGAGACGTTCTTCAGGGTCCGGTTAGTACGACCACCTTGCCAGAGGACTGAGGATGGCAGGGGATATGAAAATGCCAGGAGATGTTGAGTGCCTTAGCTACCAACTGTGAAACATGGTAAGTAAATTCAGGACCATTGTCAAACTGGAGCGAGGAGGGGAGGCTGAATTGGGGAAGAATGTGTTCAACAAGGATGTTGGCCACCACAGGGGCACATTTATTGTTGGTAGGAAAAGCCTTGACCCATCCTGAGAAGGTGTCGACAAGTACCAAGAGAAATTTGTACCGCTTGACCAAGGGCATAGGGGTGAAACCCAGCTACCAACCACAGCAAGGGAGATGTCCTCTTGCCTGGTGTAAAGGGAAGGCAAGTGGGCGGAGATTTGAGGTGGGATTGGTTTGTTTGGCAGATTTCACAGGAGGCAGAGAGGGTAGAGAGAAATTGTAGGTCCTTTGGAGGGAGTTTAAGGTGGGAAGTGAGAAATTCTTTTAAAGATGTGGTATTAAGGGTGAAAGAGGTTGTGAAGGAAGGTAAGCATCTGTTGAGTGTCAGGTGGGGAACAGTCTATTGGGGGACTAGCAAGGCAGAAGACCACAGGTGGAGTAGGCTGTTGGGGGACGGCCCTCACCTCAGAGTCTGCCTTCACAAGGGAACTTGGTGGTAAGGAATCCGCACTCCTTCCAAATAGCAGAGTGGGAGAGAAGTATGTGGAAAGTGTATTTAGAGTCAGTATAGACATTGAGGGAGGCCCCCTTTGCCAAAGTGAAGACTCTGATCAGGGAGATGGAGAGCAGGTCTTAGAGCCTATGAAGGGCCTTATAACAGAGTGCAATAGGGGTTTAGAGAGTGGGCCCCGGGCTGCATCATATAGAGACTTAGTCAATATAGAGTAGTTAGGAATCCAAGCTCTGAGGAATCCTGCCATACCTAGAAAGGAGAGAATTTCTTCCTTAGTAGAGGGCATTGGTATATTAGCGATAAGACCCTTTCTATCAACCATAATGGCTTTGTGTGTAGGGGTCAGGAGGAGGCCTAGGGAAGCTGTACCTTGGACGGAGAAACCCTATAGCCATGGGCAGAAGGGAAGTTAAGAAGTTTACAGGTTCCTGATGACTGACCTCAAAGGAGGGACTGCAAAGAAGGAGGTCATCAACATACTGTAACACCACAGCCTGAGTGAGATATATGGATGCTAGATCCTTAGCCAAGGCCTGTCAGAAGATATGAGGGCTGTCTCAGAACACTTGGGGTAGAATTGTCAACGTCAGCTGAGTGAAATTATACAATTTTACATGGACAGGGTCTGTCCATGTAAAGGTGAAAATGTCTCCAGAGAATGGAGAAGAATAGAGAAGAAGGCATCTTTCAGGTCTAGTACTGAGAAGTAAGAGGTCCTGGAAGGAATGGTGGTGGTGAGAAGGGTATAAGGATAGGTTACCATGGGATGGATTGGGATGATCGCAGAGTTGATGGAATGGAGGTCTTGGACAAAGTGGTAGGAGCCATTAGGATTTTTTACTACCAAGTTGGGGGTGTTATAAGGGGAACGAGTAGGTCTAAGGAATCCCTTTCACAAAGTGTCTTGAATGTAGGCTGTAAGCCTAGGAATTTTTTGACAGGAGAGCGGGTATTCTAATTGGGCCAGAAAATGGAGGGGATCTTTGAGATGGATGTGAATGGGCTAATGGTGTGAGGCGATAGAAGGACTTGAAATATCCCAGACAGTAGGGCCCACCTTGGAAGGGGGTAATGGGAAGGCACTGGCAGAGGGACTAGGGGATGGTACTAAGGTAAGGGTGAGGCTCAGGGAAGCAGCAGGTGAGTCTGG